TCCGTGTCTGCTGTTGTCATTGACGTGTGGAATGAACTAATGAATTAGAAAGTCTCCAAACACCAAGGACGGTTTGATAAACTATATCTACATAGTGTATATACCACATAGAACATAATTACTATGTACTAAAAGATAAGAAATTATAATTGTGCGTTTTAGAAAGATTTGGTCAAAAGAGGAGGAGGGATGAGGACTTTATCATGATTGTCAATTTCCCAAGCATTTCTGTAAATTAGGAGCTTACTAAGTAGAAACGGTGGATGGGTTTTTAACTTCAATTCCACCAATCATGTCCCATCTAAATGCTCTGAGGTGGTAACAGCAAACTGTCCCAGATCTTCTGCAAGCTGAAGTGCTTTGGGGTGATTGCATATTCCAACATCGCCCCCTGGAGGCCAGCCTGGCCAGAGCTAGTGGACACTCGTCCCCATGGCAGCGAGTCTGTGCCTCACCTCGGCTGTCAGGGTTTGGTTTTCCACCTGATCCAGCTGCTAATCTGTCCCTACCATGTGCCCCTCACCCACCACCAGTCAGTGACTCCTAGCTCATGCAATTTCCGGTGTTCACCTCTTGCTGTCCCCTGCCTGGTCCTATCATAAGTTTGTGTCCATGCTGCATTCGGTGCATGAAATGCTGAGAGCTGTCCCCAGCTGACAGCCACCAAAGATTCATTGACAGAAGACAAAGGGGATGCAGGGAAGAAATCTGTTACACCCGTGAGCCAGAACTGACCTTTTACTTCCGTGCATGGTGGGGAAGCGGGGGAGGCAGGGACATCCCAGCTGTACCGCGGAAAGACCACATTTTGAAAGGTGGTTTCAAACCACGTTTTCAGTCAGATGTAAAAAATGCCAGCTGTTCCTACAGGGATTACAGTCATGGGAATCTTCTCTTACTCTGCAAAGGAGAAATGGACCTCCTTACAACACCATGTGAAGGCAGAATTATAAAAACCTGCCTTGGAGACTATCTTTCCTTAATTAAACATAATAAGAAATATGGGCAAAGCACTCTAGCCTGGCGTAATTTGGCTTTTCAGAAAAATCTATCAGAATTTTCCAAAAATTGAGAAAAAAAAATACAGAATCAAAACGACATTTTAATGAAGTGCCTTACTAAAAAGGAGCTGGTAGAGAATTTTCCTGAAATAAAGTAGAAAATATCAACAGAAAAAAAATATTGCAAGAAAAGCTCATATCTGTGTGCATCCTCAGATATTATTTATAACTATTAAGACATTTGAGACACAACTGAGGAACCAGGTATTACACAGAAGAGAACAGTCAGAGCAGAAAATTCCAGCTACATCACTGAGACTGACTCAGCGTCTTCTTACAGATAGCCACTGTCCAGATGCTGATGGCTGATCGAGACTCAGATCCCACCCGCCTAACTTTCTGTGAGTCCCACTGATGTGTGGGGCAAAGGTGCGTACCGCCCTTAAGGCGGGCTTAGAACAGCCACGCTGAGTTCACCATGTCGACATCCTTAGGTATTTTCTAAAACACTGAAAATATAAATCAGGCCGTATTTAAGATGAACTTGCTGTCTGTCTATAAGACATGTGAGAGAACCTTCAGGTGAATTGTTTTGAAAATTCAATCTGGCCAGGCACGGTTGCTCGCGCCTGCAATCCCAGCACTTTGGGAGGCCAAAGCAGGAGGATGGCTTGAGGCCAGGAGTTCAAGACCAGCCTGGGCAACATGACAAGACCTTGTCTCTACAAAAAAAAAAAAAAAATTAGCTGGGTGTGGTGGTTTGCACTTGTGGTCTCTGCTAATCAGGAGGCTGAGGGGAGATGATCTCTTGAGCCCAGGAGGTCAAGGGTGCAGTGAGCCATGATTGCTCATTTGCACTTCAGCCTGGGCAACAGAGCAAGACTTTGTCTAAAATAATAGTAATAAATATAAAAGAAAAGAAATGAAAATTCGATCTGGCTTCCCTAAGGTCATGTCTTCCATTTTTTTTCCAGTGGGTTTTTATGGGGCCATCAGAAGAATGATGAAGATAAAAACACGTGAACTCCATCTTAGGCGTTTTGGAGCCTACAATGGTTAACTTCATATGTCAACTTGGCTGCGCTATGGTGCCCAGTTGTTTGATCAAACACGAGTCTAAACGCTGCTGTGGAGCTATTTTTAAAATTAGATTCATAAATTAATGTGGGTAGGCCATCCAATCAGTTGAAGGCCTCAAGAGCCGACTGACATGTTCCAAAGAGGAAAAAATTCTTTCTCGAGACTGTACCACAGAAACCCTGCCAAGGTGCCACCCTGCTGCCCTGTGGAATTTGGGCTCAAGGCTGCAAGATCAACTCTTACCTGAATTTCCAGACTTCCTGCCTTCCCTGCAGGGAATTTAGGGCTCACTAGCTCCTCCAATCACTTGAACCAATTCCAATCAATACATAAGTAAACAAACAAACAAATCCATCTCTCTCTTTATCAATCTATCTGTCTCCAATTTGCTCTGTTTTTCTGGAGACCCCTGAATAACACAGGGTCTGCGGGTCATTTCCTGTCTAAGGGTAGAATACCTGAGTGCCTGTGCTGCTCCACTGTCTCTGACAAGAGTCCGTTGTTGGCTTTCCCTTCCTCACTTCCTTTGACCCCTTCCACTCAGTACAAACCCAGGCTATTTATTCCATCTTTGGGTTGCTTATCAAGGGAAAATGAATTATGTAAGACTAGGACAAAAGGAAGAAGATAATTCTACTGCCATTGATGCTATATAATTTATTTCAAAGACAAACAGAAACAGCTTTTGGACTCTGTACTGTTTAGAATCGCCTCTTCAATTGCTTTCTTTCACTAACAAGGCATTTTAAGGATGACTCTCTGGCATGGAGGGAAAGCTGTGCACCACTCATTGACCTGCCAGTCAGAAAAAACTCATGGAGGCCCTGTGGGGTACTAGGCACTGTGCCAGCCACTGTCTCTCAGAGTGGAGACAGACACCCTGCCCATATGCAGCCTCATAGACATAATATAATACTCAGTATTAGAGATGTGAGACCTATAATAACAATTGTATTTATTGTCTGCTTATTATGTCTCGGACACTGATAGAAGTGCTTTATGTAAGTCAACTCATTTAGCCTTTGTAAAAACCCTAGGTGATAGGTCCTGTGTCTATAATGCCCTTTAAAGTTGTAAAAAAAAATGAGTTAACTTGTTTCCAATTGCTGCTGTAACAAATTGCCACAAACCTGATGGCTTAAAACAACACAAATGTTTTGGGTGTGACCTACGATTCTGAAGGTCGGAAGTCTGAAGTCAGTCCCATTCCAGTGTCTGAAGTCAAGGTGTGGACTGGCTCCTTCCGGAGGCTGGAGAGGAAAACACATTTCTTTGCCTCTTCAGGGTCTCTTGACCACCTGCATTCCTTGGCTTTTGGCCCCTTCCTCCACCTTCAAAGTGCATCACTCCAGTCTCTGCTTCTATCTGCACTTTCCCTTTCCTCTCTAACAGACCTCCCTTTGCTTTCTTTTATAGGGATGCTTGTGACTGCATTTAGGGCTCCTCTGGGCAATCAGGAACAATTTCTCCACCCCAGGATCTCTAAGCCCAATTATATCTGCAAAGTCCCTTTTGCCAAATAAGGTAGAAGGGGTTGGCGGTGGGTAACTCTGGAGCCATTATTCAGACCACCACCTGCAGACACAGGGACAGGGCTTACCCCAGATGATGGTGCTGGTCAGTGTTGGCATCTAGATCCACGACGGACACTTTAACCACCTTGCATGGTCCTCAAAGAGACCTGCACTCAACAGTGAGCACAGGACACCAAGGCAACAACGACCTGGCCATGATGGTATTTCTGCTACAAAATGCTGCTCCTGAAATTCCCACCAGAGCAGGCTGCTGATAAAGCAAAAATTAGCTTGTCGCTTACCACAGTCAGGGGAGCACCACCTGGATTACCTTAGGTTCATCTTGGAAAGAATGGGACAAAGGAGGGACATTTATGAGGTTTTTAGTGTCTAGCTTAAGGCAGGTTTTCAAAAGGGCAGGGTGGTTAGGATTAGTTAGAGTTCATGGTATACTCATTTAGGGGGGTGTGTACCTCTCCTAAGGTATAATAGAGAACATCTAGTGTTCTTTATTATAAACTGAGTAGCCGAATGTTGATTTTAATTAATTTTGGAGAAGTCGTTGAAATTAACAGAAATGTTGTTTGTTAGTTTAATCTTCCTGGGCAAGAGTTAGCCGCAGTAGCAATGTCAGGTTGGCTAAGACAGTGGAAGAATCAATGGACCTTAGCGTAGACAGTAAACTAACGTGCGTGTAGACGTTGAGATTCTCAACACTCAGCCCACCAAAAATGCCGGGTGAGTCGGAGGAAAGAAGCTCATGTCGCAGTGTGAGGCTTTTGCCTCTGGGAGGCCCCCGTTTCATAGAAAACCCAGAAGTCACCCCAAGAAATTGAGAGAGCAGTGGTGAGGTGGGAGGGTAGACCCTGGGTGACCTACAGAGCAGTCAGCTGTCAGACAGGACATTTTCTTCACACGACTTCCAAAAGCCACACCCAGAGTGACTTCCAAGGGTGTGTTCAAAAGGAAATGAAGAAGAGAGAATTCCTTAAGGGACAGCTGCATGTGCTGCAAGCCATCAGCCACCGAGTTCTGATCTGCACCCCCACTGGCCATGTCAGAGAGCGCTGTTACACTGCAGGAAAGAGCATGCCAGCTACACAGTAAGAGGCCGTGTCCTCAGTCTCCATCTTTGCATCACACCACCCCCAGTGTTTCTAGAAGACAAGCCCCTTAGCTGCTGCGGTGAATCTGCAAAGCGGGCACAAAGTGAACCTTTAAAAAAATTGGAAAAAAATGGGAAGGCCATTTTGTTAACCATGTAGACTTACTTCCAGTGGAAGTTCAGTCTGCAGCAAAGCGGGGGAACAGAAATTAATGGTACTAAGATGGTGACTGTGTCTTGTGTCTTCATATTTTAATTTATTTCACTTACTGGGCACCAGTTTGTCAGCCAGATGCATTATATGTGCAATTACTTCAACACAAGGGAAAGCCTTGTTGCCCTCATTTTACAATGAGTGAATAAAGACCCTCTTCAAAGGTTATTTGGCCACAGTTACACAGTAAGAGGCTGTGTCCTCAGAGTTTCCATCTTTGCATCATGCCACCCCCAGTATTTCTAGAAGACAAGCCCCTTAGCTTCTGCTCCACTTCCTGTTACACTGTGCTGCGTTTTTACAATATGTATATATAAATCTACGCACTGGCATAAATCATCCACTGTAGTCTGTCCATCCCTAGAAAGCTCTCTTCCTTGGAAGACCAAAGCGTTATTCGAATCCTTTCCCTGCCCTTCCCTGACTTCCCACAAAACTCAATATATTCTTGCTGCCCAAATTCCTTCCCTGCAACTTAAAGACCCCGAAACCCACTTTTATGTAATCTTTCCTTATCATTCCCTAGACAACCTTCCCTGCAGCCATATGCTAATACATATCTCCCTTCATTAAGCCAATATTTTTATGCCAGGTGCCTTTGCCAAAATTGTTCCCTCTTCCCTGGGAATGCACTAACTCTAATGGCTCTGTTCTTGGCAAAATCCTGTCTTAGCCTCCAGCTCAGAATGCAAGGCCAATTTCCTCTGGGAAGTATGCCTGGATGACTGGTGAGAAGTCCTGCCCTACCCTGCTAACCCTGGTTGCGCCTCTGTCATTGTGCTCAGTGAAGAGTACCTTGCATGGGGCTCACCTGGCCATACTTGAACAGCCTGAAGACAGGGAGTACATCTTCACCATCTCTAACTCCCCAGAGCAGTGCCTGGCCTGGAGCAGATGTTTAGTTTGTTTAATAAATTAGAATCGAGTAGGAATGTGTTGATTTCTAACATGAACGCTTAGTTTTCTGGGAAGATGTTTAGATGAGGAAATCATGTACTTTATTCCTATAACATATGGGAGTTTCATCAAACCTAGTGGGACATAGGAGTTGCCCCTAAAAAAAAAAATAGCAAAGACTTTGGATAAGGGAATAGAAAACATAAACTCTGGCAGAAACAAGGATTTCTTTTTCTTCTTTTCTAAATTAGGACCACTTGGTTCAAGAACAAGAGGTCACCTTTGTCAAGTTTAAAATTTATTGGATTTCCTTTGCTTCTCTCAAATTTTAGATCCGTGACTTAAACATACTTCATGAGGAAAGGTACACTGTTCTCTTCATCTTGCTGTTTATAAGAGAAAAGAGATGCTTCACAAACAACGCTGCACTTCACAGGATTCCTCATCAATGAGTCAATAGACTTACCCCCATTTAGGAGCAGGAAATCTCAGATACAAGTGAAAAAAACATTTCACGCACAGAAGACACACATAACTGAGCTGATATTAGAACACACAGTATTTACCATCACCCTCCAGGGCTGACTGCATGAGCTGTTTCCCCATCCACGATTCTCAAATGTCCATTTCAGTTGGATAATCATGGATTAAACCCTGCTTTATGAATCAATTTATAATATGCATTGTGGATGACACAGTGATAATCCGTGGTTCTCAGGATTTATGACCTACATATTGTAGAACAGCTGAAGAGATAACAAACCAGAAAAACATGGAAACAAACAAGAACATCCCAGAGACAGCACAAAGCAGCGTGAGACTGAGTGCACGACCCAGTTCTTTCATAAATCCTGTAGGAGTTCATGGGACAGTGATTATTCTGAGCTAGATAAATTAGGGACAAATTATGGGAAATGTGGGCTTTGAGGAGGAAGTCAAAGGTGGCAGGATTTGGCCAGGCGAAGGTAGCCAGTCAGCACTCTCCATGAGAGAGATGTTTAAAATGAGGATACAGCTGGGATAATCCACGGCATGAACAGGGGGCTGAGACTTGGTGTAACGTATCAGTAACGAAACTCCAAAGACGTGTGGGAAGCGGAGAGGGAGGACATCAACTCCATCTATGATGTTGGGGCTTTGTCTTGTAGGTTACCTTAGTGACTGGCTTTTCAAACTAAGAAAACATCATGCTTATTTTTGTTCTGTTGTTTTGCTTCTCTTGAGACAGGGTCTTCCTCTGTTGCCCAAGCAGGAATACAGTGGCACGATCATAGCTCACTGCAGCTTCAAACTCCTGGGCTCAAGCAATCCTCCTGCCTCAGCTTCCCAAATAGCTGGGACTAGAGGTGTGTGCTACCATGCCAAGTTGATTTTTTTTTGTAGAGCTGAGGTCTCACTATATTGTCCTGGCTGGTCTCAAACTCCTGGCATCAAACAATCTTCCTACCTTAGCTTCCCAAAGCACTCATATTACAGACGTGAGTGTCTGTGTCCAGTTCTTTTGTTCTTTTTTTAAAAGAAAACAAATGTGTCAAAGCTGTAAAAGATGGTGGAACGAGATGAGTGAAGCCACACCACAGATCAGTAGGTGATACTGGGTATACCTGTGTGGTAATGGAGCCTGCCCACGCTAGGAGTGAGGCAGTGTGGATGAGAAGAAAGAGGCATTTAGAGAAGGCATGGAGAAAACAGTGAGCAGAGAGTTGACAGAGAGAATGAGCCATCATTGACAGAAAGGAGGAAGATAAGCTAAGAAACCAGCTTGGGAAAACTCAAGAGTTCATATGTAGTTTTGTGTCTTCTTCCAAAGCAGTGGAAGAAAGTATCCAAGCCATACCCAGGCTAACAAGCGAGGAGCAGGAATCACTAGCTATCCTAAACATACAGGGGCTTAATGCAGAGAATCAAATACTTCCAGTAGGGTAAAAAAGCTGGAGAGGTGATCTGTGCCCCTGGCTCCAGGCATAAGTCTGGAAGGCCTTTCTGAGAAGCTGTGCTTAAGGAAGAAGTTAGAATGGAGTGTCATCCACCAAAAGTGCCACGGAAAGCTATTTAGGCAACTCAGCATCTCCACACCATTCTATGCTGAAACTGCTGCCATACTGAATCACAACAAATTATCCTGCCCAACACAGTGGATTTATTCTCCATACAAATGAAAAGCAGCCCATCTTCTCCGCAAAAGAAGAGCTATCCAGGGTCTTGTCCATCAGCACCTTCATCACTGGAGATGTCCTTGTCAGTCACAATCATAACCTCTGCAAACAATAGACTATATTAAGGCATCAATCACTGCCAACACCTCTATCAAACTAAAAGAGAAAAGGGAAAAAGAAAAAAGGAACTTGGCTAATATAACTTTCCTGGAATGAGAAAGAAATTTTAGTTACTATAGTCTTTCTTTCTACCAGCAATCAAAAAGCTTATTTTCATAAGTGATCATAATTATAATTATTTACAATAAACTTCTTTTTGTCTATTTGAAAAAACACTTTGGCCATTTTCCTGGTAAATAAAATCTTCATTCTTCATGGGTTTGATCCCTTTGGGTCCGGTTTATATTGGATCGTTACAGTCTTGTGTTAACTTTGCCACTGGTTTCCCAGTACTGATGACGCTGATGATAATCTGGGATTCCGCATTCCTGATCTGGGAACCGATGCCTTTAATCAAGGAAAATACAAAGTTAGAGGAACAGGAACTCAACACTTGTGAGGGCATATTAAGTGCAACATGCCAAATAAAGGGAGGCGGGACTCGGTGGCTTACGCCTGTAATCCCAGCACTTTGGGAGGCTGAGGCAGGCAGATCACCTGAGGTTGAGAGTTCAAGACCAGCCTGACCAACAGGGAGAAACTCTGTCTCTACTAAAGATACAAAATTAGCTGGGTGTGGTGGCACATGCTTGTAACCCCAGCTACTTGGGAGGCTGGGGCAGGAGAACTGCTTGAAATAGGGAGGTAGAGGTTGCACTCCAGTCTAGGCAACAAAAGCAAAACTCTGTCTAAAAAAAAAAAAAAAGGAGTTGTGTATTCTCACTTCCAGGAGTCTGGGGCTGGGGCTCATATAGTTTGGCCATTGGGAAAACAGCCTCACACCTTGGTCGTCCTTTCAAAGTGCATACTGCATTCTACAGGACATCACCCAGTCACAAGTGATGCCACTGACAGATGTTATCTGTGTATGCAAGAGGTCAGTCCCCCACTGTTTAAGGCCAGCCGCACATGTGTGTTAGATAGGAAGACTGCAGAATGCCATAGGAATGAGGCCATTGCTTCACTTCTCTTGCTAGAAAATGAGTTATTAGGTCAGAAACAAAGATTATGTAATTCCATAATCGTATTAATGCATTCTTTTTGATGGTAGTATTGGCAGAAGCATTTCATACCCAAAATGTCTATTCCAGAGAGGACAAATAACTGTTGGGGTTTTTTTTCCCCACAATAAAATGGGTCTTATGTAATGAAACTTCCCCTGCATGTCTGTCTGCCCCCAACAGAATGACTTCATATATGACAGTCAACATCATCCACTCTTAATAGGAGGCACATACAGCAAGGATGGGCCAAGGCAGCCTTAGTGAGGGAAAGCCCATGTTGTTGAACTCATCTTTAATCTTCATCCCTGACACCAGGGCCGTCTTATTCCTGAGCTTATTGGGAAAACACAGATGGCATAAGAAAAGGCCGGCCGACACTCCCAGGCTGGTCATCTCTACCCCTTGGTTCCTGAAACACTTATCTGAAATTGATGCCCTTTGGTGAAGATTCATAAAGAACACAAATATCTTAGACTCTGTGCTCATACCTCTTCTACAGATGTCTTTGTCACCAGTTCTCCAGGCTTATTTCTTTCAGGTCCTCAAGTATCCAACCTGCCATCAACTTCCTGTGAATCAGTTATGAGCTGTACCTCCGGACACGTTTCCTTCCAAGAAAAAATGAGATATGACACATTCTGCTTGATTTCTTCCCTTGGGAGAAATTCCCTTTACTTCTCTTCCGTTGGAGCAAACCTGGGAAGAGCTGTAGAAATCTCTCATGAGCTGTTACCAGCATACCACGAAGAACCTTCTGTAAGTTAGCATCCACATTTGTTTACCTCAGACAATCAAGGGAGGCCACAGTTGAGGACTGGCTATAAGAGAGACACCTGTGTGCGTCATTGGTGGGGATGCTGAGAGCCGAGTCTCTGGATCACGCTTCTGCTCAGCCTCATGTACGCCACTTGCATTCCACCCAGTACTCTTATAAAAGTCAAACTATGTGACTCATGATTTAGTTCTTATGATTACTTGATGTCCTGTAGTTAGGCATCTGGTCTCTACCAGGGCCCAGGAAAAACAAAGAACAATTTCAGAAAAAAAAATGTTGTAGTTATTTTCCAAAAAAGTGTTACTAGGTGATATGGTTTGGATTTGTGTCCCCCAGCCAAATCTTATGTCAAATGGTAATCTCCAGTGTTGGAGGAGGGGCCTGGTGGCAGGTGACTGGATCACGGGGTTGGGGGAGGGGATTAACCCCTTGATGTTCTAACAGTGAGTTCTCGCAAGATCTGATTAAGAGTGTGCAGTGCCTCCTCCTTCTCTTTTCCCTCCTGCTCTGGACACGTAAGGTGTGCCTGCTTCCCCTCTGCCTTCTGCCATGATTTTGAGTCTCCTGAGGCCTCCCTAGCCATGCTTCCTGTACAGCCTGTGGAACCATGAGTCAATTATAAATTATCCAGGCTCAGGTTGTTCTTTACAGCTGTGCAAGAATGGACTAAGAAATTATTGCAAGTGGCTGGCAATAGTTTCCATGAAGCGTCTGGTCCTTCCTAATTCATCAGCTAGGATACCAGATAGCAGATCTCTTTGCCCTCTCTCGCTTCAAGCTCTCCTTAACGCTGTATTTCAAAGTACTCAATAAGTGGGTCAGAGCACCGTACCCAAAGAAAGTATACTCTCCCTCCAAAATCAAATTTAAAAAAAAGCCTGACCAAATAAAAAAGGAGCATTGAGCTTCATTTCAATATCAGATGGAATGAAAGTTTAATGCTTACTTTTTAGTTATAGGGTGTCAAGTAACAACAATGGTCTTTCACTCCCCACCGTTGGGTTACAACTGGAAGAGCAGAAGCTTCACAGGCGCGGTGGCCCTTACACATTTTCGCTGGACTTATCTCCCCTGCTCCATATTACATGGAATTGACAGGATATTTCTGGCTTGCCAAGTTCAGTAAGTGTGATGTCATCAAGGACTTGAACCAATATAGTGCCCTGTAGAATGGCAAGATAATCAAGTTCCCCGGGGCTAACCTGTGATAGAGAGTAGGAATGCTGGTGTGTAGCAGAGTGAAAGAGTCCTGAGTATCTGACACATTTTGCCCAAACTAATGTTCCTTTTGCCCTGGCTTAATAGCTTTGTAATATAGTCCAAGACATACTACCAGCTTCCTCTGTAATTCAATATGAATAAATGAAAATTATGTAATTAAATATAAACAAGTTGTAACATTATAATAGCTTTGATGAGTAATTCTTCTCTTCCTGAGTCAGATTCTATACTGTGCCTCTAAGATATGCAAGGATTCGATTGTAACTCTATAGATGCAGAGGTAATGGGACAGGTAGAAATTGGCATGAAAATAACTGTCCTTCCTTTAAAGCTGTATCAGGTGATGATAGGCTCCGCCTTATCAAGGCCGGGGGGCCTCTGTTAACAAGAGAAGCTCTGAAGCCTCATTCCTTGTCTCTTATTCTCACTCTTAACCCATTTCCTGTATTTGCTGAAGAAGACCTGGTGAAGTTCTGAAGCAACTTTCACTGTGATTCAGTCATGTGTATGATTGGCCTCCATTCAGGACTTCAGGCTACATCAGGTCTGCAGCTACACGGGATTAAGCATTAGTTCAGGACTTAGAGATCTGTCATGGACATACCTTGAACTGAGTATGTAAACTCTCAAGCCGACATTTTCTTTCTTTGAACCCTTCAGTTTGGTCACAAGCAGCTGGCTCCCCACCCTCCTTAGAGTCCTCATTCTCACTATGATGTTGCTGTAGTCACTGGGTCCTCCGTCTGCCTTCAACAGGCTTTGCATTCCCAGGGACTGCGGGAGATAATTTAAGCAGCTGTTTCCTAGTGTGTCAAAAGTCCAATTTCTCATTTACTAGTGGTAATTAGGGCCTTATTGCCCTCAAATCCACCCAAGGCTGATAAGCAGTTCTAGGGTCTTGCTCCTAGGGACTGTTGCATACAACTACTTTTGCTACTAAATCCCATATTAGCAAGCATTACATTGCAAGAAATAAAAACAGGCACAAAAAGACAACTACTGTGTGATCTCACTTATATGTGGAATCTTAAGAAGTTGATCTCATAGAAACAAAGTAGAGAGGTAATCACCAGAGTGGGGGCTGGAGGGATGGGGGAATGGGAGATGTTGAGAGCTAAACAATGTGTACACATGGGCATAGAGAGTGGAACGACAGACATGGAGACTAGGAAGGGTGGGAAGGCGGGAGGGGTGAGGGATAAATTACTTAATGAGTATAATGTACATTACTCAATTAACACTTATAGTAAAAGCCCATCCTGGGTCACCACTACACAATATATCCATGTAACAAATTTGCTTGTATACCCTAAATTTATACAAATGTTTTAAACCAGACACAAAGTTTCAGTTCCACTGGAGGGGTAAGTTTTGGTGATCTATTGCACTGCATGTTGACCAGTTAATCATAATGTATTGCATATTTCAAAACCGCTAAAAGAATAGATTTGTAACATTCTCTCTCTCTACACACAAAATGTAAGTTAGTGAGGTGATGGATATATTAATTGGCTTGGTTTAATTTTTCTACAATGTATCAATTTTTAAGCCCATCCTAACCACTTTAAGTAGAAAAGACTTTAAAATGGAGTGGCCACAGTGTTGCTGTACACTGGGGTTGGAAAACTAGTTCCAGACTTGGCCTTCAGAAAGGACTCTGGAACACTGCAGGCCCATGCGGGCCAAAGGCTGCTACCTCTGCTGAGTGAGGAAGGCATGGAGTCAGGAGCAGAGCATGTACCTGGTGCCTGGAAGTCCTCCTTTCCCACCGAAACAAGAAAGCACCAGCCATCACTGCTGCGAAGGGGCTTGATGCCTGCAAGACGACCACTATGGGGGTGGAGAGGCAAGCTCTCCTGTACAGCCAGAGCAGCAGGGATGGGTCTTGCCCTTGCTTCTTCCTTCCACAGCTTTTGTGAGTACATCTAATTATCAGGCTCTAACTCACATCCAAAACTCTAGCTATGAACATGCAAGGTTAGCTGTCTAGACCCTCCAGTCCACAAAAGACCCACAAGAAGGAAGATTAAGGATGCTGCTGCCAACCACCTCCGTCTTCCACATTAACACATGTTTAAGAACAGAGATAACAACCTTAGTTTAATGCAATCGGTGTCCTTGACTGTGATTTATCACGTGTCATTTGTTTGCAACTTCAGTAACACTGGAGAAGTTTGTTGCTTTCTTTTCTAATTATTCTTCTCCAATTTGATTTCATTTCCATTACTTAAGTTTTAGTGTCCTGTGATAGCTGCTTAATCTGAACAACTAATCTTCAGCTGGGGCATTAACTGAGTGCTGAGCAAGCATTTTTGCTCACTTCTTTAAAATAGCTACTCTCGTAGGGTCAAGTGCTTTGCTTTTTGTATGATATTCACAGACAGCTCTTTAAACAAATATCCAGATATAAACTATATATATATATATATATACACATACACACACACACACACGAGACAGTATCTTGCTCTCTTTCTCAGGCTGCAGTTCAGTGGTGCAATCACAGCTTCCTGCAGCCTCAACTTCCTGGGCTCTTGTGATCCTCTTGCCTCAGCTTCCTGAGTAGTTGGGACTGCAGACACACACCACCACACCCAGCATTAGAGACAAGGTAATGCTGTTAGCCCAGACTTAAAACAGTAATTTTTCCAGTGATATTTTATCACTAGGTTTGTTAAGGCTTCTGCAGTTTTCTTTTATGGCTTCAAGTGAGCAGGCACACCTTGCTTCTAACTCAGTTACTAGAATCAGAAGTGCCCGAACCTTTGTGGGTTGTGCTTTCATCCAGCTATCGGCTCTCTAACACATCCATTTATTTATTCACTCAGTTCACTGATTCAGTAATCATTTCTTCATAGATGTGTAAGAGACATGGTCTGGGCACTGGGGACATGGCAGTGAGTGCGTTCTGCCCCCTGGGACAGACGTCAGGGCACAAGGAATGGAGAGGATGATGCATACAATGAGAGGTGCTGGGAGTCGCACACACGCTGACTGTGGCTGGCAGGGGCGTGGAGTAGAGAGGAGTGAGGCAGCCTACTCGGTTTTCAGCCCTAGCAAGTGGGGGGAACAGGGGCACATGCAGGGAGCGTGCTGCAGGGAGATGCTCCTCACAGGACCCGGGAGAGAACCGACTGCCTGGGATGGCAGTGACCATGATGGCGGTGGCAAGACAGGCAGACAGCCTTCTTACCAACAAGACTCATACTGCTTAGATGTGAGGAGGAGACAAAGGAAAAAAAAAAGAAGGACCAAGAATAATACCAGAATAAAACAAAAAAGTTTGATGTTCAAAACACTATCAAGGACATTTCCCAGAGGAACTGGACTAGAACGGACCTTGAAGAACTGGCTGGATTTACTGCCTGGGATGGCAAGGGGGTGTCACCTGCACACCAAGCCCAATCTTACAAAGGGGCTGCCTGGAGCCATGCACTGTGAAGAATAAGAGCTGGGCACACACAACAACCGAGGAATTGACTGGGAGGCGGGTGAGAAGGAGGGAGAGGGGAGGGGGCGGGTGGGTGTGGATGCACATGCCTCAGGAGGGGAGCACTGAGCAGAAGTGATCATAAAGCCACTTCCTCCATTTCTTGGTTTTTAAATCATTGTTGTCTGTGGGATTTGTCCTCTGGGCTCTCTCTTACCCCAGATGAAGTCTTGGGCATGCACCCTAGCCTTCTCAGTCACTCTGAGACAACACAAAGTCCAGTGCGATGTGCTGTCACCTATGTCCCGTCTTCAACGAGTTTCTCCCACACGTTTGGAGCTGGTGGCTGTTCTTAGACGCCAGCAAGATGAGTGTGGTGGGTAGGAGTGCGGCATGACAGGCTTTTTCTTTGCTCCAACATTTTCCTTATTCACCAGCTAGTGAATTCCTCCAAGCTTGGGGTGGGAGAAGAAAGCATCAAAAGAAAAAGATGCAGTCTTTCACAGCTCATTCAGCTGTAACCTGGGTTCACCGAGTGCTTGAGTCCAAGGTCAAAAACAGGCTGGTAGGGTGAGCTTCTTTCCCGCAGGGAGCTCCTCAGGAGGATCCAGCATCTTACACACATGACCGTGGTAGGGTTCAGCTCCAAGACCCACATTACACCCAAATTATTTTAAGAGAGGAAAGGTAAAAACAAAACACTAAAATATCACAGAAGGAGCCACTGCGACAAGCAGCTGACACCCTTGGGCTGGAGAGAACAAAGGAAAGGGGAGGGAGTAAGCAAAACTAAGAAACGTGGAGGAGCTGCCGCCCACAGCTCACACACAGACATCTGAGGAGGGACCTTCTGGGCTGATGCTGGGGTCGCTGCTCTTAGAGCCAGTGCCCTGTGGAGCCAGGAACCCAACTTTGCTGGCATCTCTGAGGGGCTCTGCGTGTGTCAGAGAATCTGCCAACCAGATTCATATGCTGCTCTGCTCGTAAACTGGCAGAGTATAAAAGGAAAGGTATGGGGTTGAGACAGTAGCTTAACCACCAGCTCAGCATCCTGGGATTCCTTTCTCTTCCAGTCAGCAGGAAGTGACAAAGAGAATGGGAAGACCCTAGGGGCCAGGCCCCTTCTGCTGATGTTTGGCTGGTAGAACGTAATCACGTGTCAGGTTCCGGTGAGCGGCTGCCGCTGTCTGCCACTGGTGCTGTGCGGATACAGTTCCAAGTGAGTCTTTCCAACTGCAGACATCCAGCTATGGTTCTTTGGATGGGGGATGGAAGAGATAAGTGTTATTCCTGGCTGCTCGCTTCCACTCTGCTTCAGCCCTGCTTTCCTCCCTGCTCCTGCTGAGATGCCCACCATATCCAGTGTGCAGAGACCCTTCTTCATCCCAGGGCTAGTGAGCATGAGGCTCAGTAACCTCCAACCCATCTCCTGGAGCTGTCCTGTGGTTCCCCTGGAACCACTCTAGGGCACGTAGTGTCTGACTCTGAGTACTTCACTTCATGGGGTACTGCTTTCAACAAATGCTCTGGAATATAGCATCATTGAGAGGTAACTTGATTATTAACATATATGTCCACTGAAATGGCTAATAAATGTAGTCTAGAAACCAAGAAGACCCCTCACCGGCCTCAGGTGAAGGGAAAATATGTCCCTCCCTTTCCTATCGCTCCTCAGAGGTAGGTGGGACCTGCCCTTGCTATCTAAGAGAATCCCCTCCTCAACACGTGTCACCTCTGCGTACCTGCCTTCTTCCTCCTCCAGTCTTGGAAGCAACAGGAAGCTTCTCATGTGACCAACTGTTACAGCCGCCAGGCGTTCACACACCCACAAGGCAGAGCGGGCTCGTCCTCCTTTACAGAGGGCGACTGCCGTGTGCAGGTCATCAAAGTCCTTTCAAATGCTGCTTTATCCATTTTTTCTTTTCTCAATCAGCTTCCTCAGGTTGAAGAAAATTTTGCTTTAACAATCATATTAGTTTTGCATTCTATTTCAAACTGACTGTCTTAAAACTAATTTTTTTTTTGGTCTGGTTTCTAGGTAAAAATCAGTGTTTCAGGAAGAAGCAACATGTTTACCCTCTGGCTTCAAATCACTTTGAGGGTAAGTGCTGAGGCTGTGAGCAAATTGCTGATATCTGGAGACAAGTTGAAAGCCCACCACCACAACCTGAGAAAAACAAGCAAAGACAGCTTAGGACTAAGCATGGCGGAACATGCCTGGGCGGACAGCTAGGTGGTTCCCACAAGATGCCTGCCTTCCATCCCAGGATACCCCAGAGGATGGCCTTTCCCCTCCGGAAGAGGGTTCGGTGATGTCCTGATACCACTGGAAATTCTATTTATTTGGAAAACACACAGGGAAAGACAGACATCTTGTGGGCATATCATAGCATTACGTCACAGGCCTGGAAATCAACACCTAATAATCAGGTAACGTCACTGAATAACACACTTGGTCATAAAGAATTCCATCAAACATCTCTCCAGCTTTTAAAAGAAAAAAAATGAACATATAGTTCATTTTTCTTATGGTTAAATGCATCAAATAAACACATAGCCTTGAACTTCCAAAGAGCAGAGAGCTTTCCATTTTGAGTTTTCCTTGGTTTCTAGACCACATCTATTAGCCATTTTAGTCGATGTATATGCTAATAAACCAAATCAACAGTTACCGCTCAATGATGCTAATTCCAGAGCTTTCGTTTTAAGCAGGTACCAGGTACCTGAGAGGTAATGAGCATTGCCGGGCGAGAACTGAGACTTTTTTAGTTGGATCCTCTGAACAGCTGGCTGGATTCGACGGGCACAGGGAATCCCAAGACCAGAGTCTGGAATGCAGACATTCCTCTGGGTCTTAGGGTTTCTCTGGCAGAAAAACAGAAACTTTATCTTGGAAATTTGACAAGAAAAATGCTTGTAAAGAAAAAGCAAACCAACTTTTTCCTATGAGTAAGCTGAAGATATATTTATCTATTTTCCGAAATGGATATCACCATCAATAAATTATTACAAACGACTCTCTGTCTAGTGAATCCTATCGAGTGAGTCCAATCCTTGTCACTTTGTACTGAAATTACAGTGGTCCTCTGTTAAGGAAACACCAGCACACATATGTCATCTGCTTAGGAATCTAAAGACAGATGTGTGATTCCAAAGCCACAGGTCACCATTTGCTGCAGTACAGATGTTTGCTTGCTTGTTTCCTTCGTGAGGAAGGAACAGGTGTGGACCATCACGTGGGAAAGAGAAAAAATGTAATTTTGACCATTCCTCAACTCGTGGCCCACATACATTCTCATTATGACCAATAGTCACACCTGTTTTTGTACAGCCTGCATGCTAAGAATGACAAATAAGTGGCACAGACCTGTGTGACCCACAAAACCTAAAATATTTACCACGTGGCTCCTCAGAGTTTACCTATTCCCGCATTTCATAAAAAGACTGGTTTTCATGAAATGTTTTGAGAACTAGCTTTGAGAAAGGTAGGAGAAAATGGAATTCTATTAATATTTTTGAAGGGAAGTGTCTGTTGTTTCTTACCTTCAATTATTCGCAGCAAATTTGACTCCTTTTGACCTTCATTTAACATCTGCTGTGCAGTATTTAAAGGGAAGTCTCATCTCTAAGATATAAAAGTAACTATCATCCAATTCAAAATGTGGTGTTATTCAAACTTACTCAGTGCTAAGGGGCAAAAAAGGTGGGAGAGCCTTGGGGTTGCGGAGGTAAACCACGGAACCTGGAAGAGCAGGTAGGATTTCCACACCTAGAGCTGGAAGGAAGTGAGTTTCAGGCGAGTGGAAAACAATCGCAAGGGTGCACAGGCAGGGAGGCAGCAGTGAGAATTCCAAGTTCCCCTAATGATAAAAGTGCATCGTACCTGTGAGTACGATGGTGTAGAGGGAGAGAGAGCTGGTGTCTTCGCCATAATGTGCTTTGGAAAAACACTCATTGAAGTAATTTTAAATAAAAGGAAAGTTATAGTGAAGATGCATTTGTCTGGAGTCAGAGGTTAGCACCGGAATGACCATGATCCCTACACATCTTTCTAATACCTGCTGCTCCTTTCCCTAATGGGTCACAAGGTCTGTCTTCCACTGTGTAGCTACATCCCTCTGTGGATCTGCTCAGAGCACTTACCTTTTCTCTTTTAACCTTACTCTTGTTTTCTGCCTATCTGTCTGAGGAAAGCTGGGACTTCGATCAAGGGCACGTCCTCAGTTACGTACACGCCTGTCTAGCTTGGGTGTCAACGACAGGACACCTAGCTATTGATGGATGGCGGTTCCTCCACTCCACAGCAGGTGGTATCCAGTGTGTAAGAGAGGCAGGGATGTGAAATTTCGAGAAGAAAATCCAGAGAAAAATGTAGACTGATTTTTTTTTTTTTTTTTGGAAACGGTGTTTTCAGTTGCAGTTTCCATACGGAGGAGCTAGGAAATGGCTGGAAAGGTCTAGACATTAACACAAGCACTCTTTCTCTTGAATTTGGACTTTTTAACCAGACGATGGAAGCTGTGAGAGGCTTCTGAACAAGGTATTGATGGGGACAAGCTGTGATTACTAAAAAGACGATTCTGGTGGTGGCAGATAGGGTGAATGGAGATAAACACCTCAGTTCAAACGAAAGCTGAATTTACCCACTAACTACGGCTACAAGTAGTTTTTTTCCTTTTTCTTTCCATTTGCCCCCTCTTCCAGGAGATACCAAAAAACAGGATTTGGAGGTGGCAGGATAATAGCCAAACGGGTGGGCAGGGTGGCCAAGGATTCAACCAGGCTCTGGGCTTGGTGCTCACAGCTGGGCGTGGGAACCCGTCGCTCGGCAATCAGGGGCTGCCGCGGCGACCGGCGTGAACAGACGACCGAGGACCGAGAGGTCGGAAGACAAGGGGACCGTCACAGGAGCAGGGAAGCCGCCACCCGAGACCAAGGCCGTGCAACCAGCGCCGAAGCGCGCTGGGCGCGGCCTGAGAAAGCGCACGATCTCCGCCCGCCCCGCGGCGCTTCGGGAACTGTAGTCCTCCCTCTCCTGCTCCCTGGCCCGGGACGGGCTCCGGGACAGCTGCTATCCCTCTAGTTGTAAATCACGCACTTTCCAGTCCTGGACTTGGGGTCCTTCCACTCCGGCGGGCGTCTAGAGTTACGTCACGGGCGGGTCACCTCCCACACAGCGGTGGCGTTTAGGTGTTTATGGAAAGCCTGTCGTACAGCAAGCAGGCAATAAAGGATCGACCCCCAAAAGTGGAAGGAATACACCTCTGATGCCTCCACACCTTTTGGGCGCTCCTCTGCGGGCGTCTTCTCCGCCGCATAGCGCAGCTCCACTCCGGGTGTTGCTCAGGCATCCCTTTAGGCAGCCTGGAGCCTCGAAGGGGGGCGGGGCCAGCCAGGGCGGGGCGGGGCCCTGAGTGGAGTGCGTCGCGCTCGGGGGCCGCACCGGGTAGCGTTTCTCTTTAGTGCCTGAGGCAGCTCTGGCTCGGAGAGCCTTTCGCTAACCCTACGGGGACCTCTGTGCACGGATGGACCCGCCCGGACCCGGCGGGAAGCGGCCTGGCAGGCGGCGGCCCCGGCGGCATCAGCAGAGACAGGACGGGGCCGAGGCCGCGGGCCCCTGAGGCGTGCGTGCCCACCGGGCCCGGCAGCGGCACCATGATGCCGGGCGAGACCCACTCGGCGGCGCCCGGGACGGCGGCGGACCTGGCGCGATGTCAGGGCTGCGCCTCTCTGCAGCAGGTACGGCACCTCCCGGGGCCGCGGGCGCGGGGGGCGACTCTTGCTTGGCCGTCCGGGATCGCGGGGATGTGGGGTCCCGCCGCGCTGGCTGCGCCTCAGTATTGCTTTCCCTTCCCGACCGAAGCTCCTGGTTGCTCGTCTCCCTGCTCCCTTTTTCTTACACTAGTTTTGGGGACGACTTCCATTGCTTTGTTTAGGCTTGAAACCCAGAGTTCATTGACCGGAATGCCCTGGTGTAATGGTGGGGGTGGAGTGAGCGAGTTCCGGAGGGCCCGCACCTTCCCTACCCGGCCTCGGAGCTCCCCAGGGCTGACCCTTAGGTCAGTGAGTGACAGGTCAAATGCTGAGGGCAGTTATCTCTCTGAGGGTAGGGCTTTGGTCTTTAGCTCATCCTGAGTATTTGTTTGGAGGCAGAATCTTACGTGACATGTGGGTTGCCTGAGTCATTGGACTCAAAGGCTCTAGGGAGGCATGTCAGTTTGTATCAGATGTGCCATTCCGAGGCTGGTTTTTTCCAAAGCAAGCCAAGTAATTGGTCATGTCAAGTACCGTGTCAATTGTTTGATAAAAGTGGTTTATTAAAGGCATGAGAGACTGGAAGTATCTAACAGGGGCCTAGGCTCTTCTCTATAGCGACAGAAGGGAGAATTGCTGGAGTATGGCTCCAGATCTTATGGGGTGGTCGTTGGGAAATAGTCCCCCTCATTTCCTACGACTCTCCTAGCTGCCTGATGTCGGGGGTCTCTTTTAACTTCCTACTATCACGGTTTCAGTGTTAAAACGGGACGCCCCACCACTTCATCACCTATTCTGCCTAGCGTTCTAGGAACTACAGACATTGTGGTGAACAAAATAGGATCTGCTCTTATAAGTAGGATGCAAGTGTGTAAATAAGGCTTTAGAAGATTTTAGGTGTTAGAAAATAAATGAGGATGTTGGAATATTGGTCTTGTTTCTTAGCTAGGGGTAGTCAGGTAGGGTACTTTTGAGTCAGTGAGTTTCAGATATTTGCATGAGAAGGATTGGACTGTCAGAAGAGACATGGGAAGAGCTTTCTGGATAGAGGGATTAATAGGTGGAAAGGTTCCTGTAGTGAGAAGGAGCAGGATGTCTTTGAGGAGCAGAACATAGTATGGTCGGCATGAGCATAGTGCGGAGGGAAGATCGTTTATGAGACCAGAAGGGAGCGCAGGCTAGGTAGGCCTTGCAGGGAAACTTGATTTGCATTTTAAATGCAGTATCTGTGAACTGATTGCAAACATTTCAAGTGTTGAAGGGAGGGGAGGTAGGAAATGTGCTGCTTTTGTGAGTAGAAAGAGAACTAATAATTAGTATGATCATTGGCTTCATTGAGCTGCATTGTGTAGATGTAACGCCCCCTCTCTCCCACCCCAAGAACCTGAGTAGAGTTCTTCCGACTCTTGGGGTCGGAGAGTATTTGTATTTATTATTTGAGCCAGTTCATTCACTTAACAAATGCTTATTGAGCATCTGCTGTATTTTAGACATTGCAGTTAAGGCAGTGGGGAGCTAAAGACAAAAATTCTTGACCTCTTGGAGCTTCTGTGTCAGGAGGGTGGCAGGATAAATGAAACAAATGTTATGTTAGAGGATAATAAAAACACTGTTTATGAATTGAACAGAGATGAGGAGGGAATGAATGGGCGAGGACTAGGCCAGTGGCTGCTGGAATTTAAGTAGGGAGTCCTGGAACGTTTATATTGGAACAAAGTTGAGAGAATAAGCTCTATTGAGACCTTGGAAGAAAAGCATCCCATGCAGTGAAAACATCAGTTGTGAAGAACTGTAGCAGGAGCTCGCTTGGTGTGCTGGAAGAGCAAGAAGGCCAGGGAAGCTGGAGTGGAGTGAATGCTGGGAGTCAGTGAAGTCGGGAAGGTAGGAGGTGGGTCTGATTGTGTGGGCTCCTGTAGACCATTGTTCGGGTTTGGGCTTCTCTGATGGAACAGTTAGTCATTGGAGGCTTTTGTGCAGGAGAACTACTGATGTGAATTGTGCTTTTCAGTCATGGATCTGTTCTGGTTAAAATTAGCAACTGTATCTTCTGGTTGCTTAGGCCAGAAACTAGATGGCATCTTCCATGCAGCTCTTTCTTCTCACAACCTGTATACAGTTGATCAGATTCTGTCCATTCTCCCATCATTATTCACCCACTTTTCAACATTTCTACTGCTTCCACCGTGAGGTGAATGACTCTAATCTATGGCCTAGAGATTGAATCTCCTTCCTTCCACTCTTGCCACATTTCTGCTGTGGGTTCTCAAAACATCAATGAGAGTAACCCTAGATCCAGGGGTCTGCAGACTTTTTCTGTAAGAGCAGAGTCACAAGTATTTAGGCTCTGGGGACTTGTTCATAGCTACTCAACTCTGCCATTTTCACGTGAAAGCAGCCATAGACAATTCATAAAGGCATGGATATGCCTGTGTTCCACTGAAACATTATAGAAACTGGACTAGGGCCTTAGTTTACAGGGCTCTTCTCTAAGTCAGGACACTATTGCATTTGGATTTTTTGTGGCCTGGAATTGGATTACCTTTTTAGGTGAAAGTTATGAGTAGAGTGTGGAGGAATTCTGTAGTAGTGCAAAGTGAGGCTAGAAAGATAGGTTCCTGGCAGTTAATAGAGAACGTTGAATGGTGACCATCATGAATTCTTGTACTTGTTTCTGACAGTGTTATGGGATGGTGAAGGTGTTTGCATGGTTGCATTAGGATAGCACTTGTAGTAGAAGTCCCAGTTGGTGGTGTGCAGCGTGGACTGGAGGGAGTGCGACTAGATACGGTAAATCTTGCTAACACATAATCATGATGATAAAAGCCTGAAGTAATTGAAGTTTCCTGGGAATGAGAATAAAGAAGAAAAAGGTTCTAAATATGAGACAGTGCAAAGAGTGGGCGGGTCTTATCTCAGAAAATGGAAGGTCCAGAGATTTAAAACTCGAATGACCATGAGAACTGTGGTAGATACAAGAGGAAGAAGAAATCAAGATGGAAGAGACCAAAGTTGGAATGACATCAGAACTAGGGGTTTTCAGCCATTTTCAAATTTAATGTTTGTGGAACACAGTGCTCCCAAGGTGCCGTAGTATCCCTCAAAGAAATAGCAGGGCAGGTTAGATGTGCACTGTGTTCAATGTAAGAATTTTATTTGGGCTGGGTGTGGTGGCTAACGCTTGTAATCCCAGCACTTTGAGGCCCACCGAGGCAGTAGATAGTGAGGTCAGAAGTTCAAGGTCAGCTTGGCCAAGATGGCGAAACCCTGTCTCTACTAAAAATATGAAAATTAGCCAGGTGTGGTGGCACGTGCCTGTAATCTCAGATAGTCAGAAGGCTGAGGCAGGAGAATTGCTTGAACCTGGGAGGCAGAGGTTGCAGTGAGCCAAGATAGAGGCACTGCTGCCTGGGCCACAGAGCAAGACTCCATCTCAAAAAAAAAAAAAAAAAAAAGTAATTTTATTTGGTGGAGGAGAGGTGTGGGGATAGGAAAATGAAGCATTATGTTCTGTCACCTAAAGGAATCTTTGAAACCGTGATGCCAATTCATGGACTATGTGCTGTCCTTAGAGTCAGTGACGGAAAACCAACCAGCTGAGTGATGTATGCTGGTTGGCTTTCCAGTTGATGAAGGGGAACATGGAATGGTGGGGAAAGAAGAAACATATAAAATGTGTTAGAGGGTTAAACAGAGAATGTGTTCCAGAGGGAATCAAGATCGGAAAGAATGAGAATTAAGGAAGAGCATTCCCTTTGGTCAATTGGTAGACAGCTACTTTTTGGAAGTCAATTTCTGCATGTATTGTAACTACATCAAGTTCTGTATTTCAGTTAAACTTCCGTGTGAGAGAGAAAGTAAAGAGGTTAGGTACTGAGAGGAGATATTCTGCACTATAGTTTTAACCCCTTGATCATGCAGAAAATTTACGAGCGTGATATAGGAGTCAGTCTTTCAAATAATAGGCAACCGTGTTGGTGTTGTGACTTCATTCTGAACTGTGATGAATGTTAGGCTGACTTGCCTCTATCTTGAATAGCGGTTTACTTGCACTGAAAATCTGCCTTTCATTTCTTAATCTTCCCTGTCCTTTTTTCTTCAGTTGTTGGAGAGATACCGTACCTTTGCTGAGATCAGTATTTGATTCAGAAGTGTACAGATTGACTGCATTTTATGCGTCTTTTGTTCGTAGTCTCACAAATTACTTTATATCTGCTTTGTCACTCATTGTTGACAGTTCATTGCTGATCCATTGCGCAGTGCCCATGTGGGTTACAGAACTTCGGCAGTCAGATATACCAGTGTGGGTCCTCACTCTAATCATATTATGTATGATCAAACAAAGTCTTAAGTTGTGTGTTTTTAAGTTAAACTAGTCACACTGACATAGTCAGTTTATTCTGGGGAAGGAGAGACCCGTATTTGCTGACTTCACTGCAGTGCAAAACAATTGGATTCTCTTGGGGATAGATCCAGGATGAGAATTTGAAACACATGATTATGTTGTTCATCTTATGTCACTAGGTTAGATTCAGTGAGTTTGGCGTATGGTTGTCTTTGGGACAGATTTGAGCCTGTCCATAAACTTGTGCTAGACTCCCAGTGATAATTTCTGGTGGTTTGAGTTTCATCGTTTGGAACTTGAAACATTTTCTTCCATACATACTGATTTAGAAATGGTTCTATTACAAGGAATGCTCACGAAATTGTAATTCATTCATTTACCAAACACATTTCTTGAACATCAATATATATATGATACCATGCTGTGTTTCAGAATACAATCATGAGCAGAAGAGCTCCTTCTAGTTGAGATTACAGTTAAGTAGAAAAGCAAGCACAGTATATGTATAATATAATAAATATTATGGTAAGGGACATATGAGGTGCTCTGAGCATATAGGAGGGGCAGCTATATAGGACTTGTGTTACCTCTGGGAAGGCTTCGTAAAAGTAAATCTAAATTGAGGTCTGAAAGATGATTTGCA